TAGCTCAGTGGTAGAGCGTTTGACTTAGGATCCAGAAGTTGCCGGTTAAAATCTTTAAAATGATCTATAAATAATTTCACAGTCTGTCCGACCCCAAAGCACTGTGAGACAATTGTTGATGTGATGTGATCTGGTTCTTGTTCAGAGACGTCCTGGTCCTGGTTCTTGGGTAAATCTGGACTTCAGTAGGTTTCAGGAGGTTTGCACATGTTCTGCTGCAGAGCGGAGCAAAAAATTAGTCCTACAAAGTTCAACAGAGTTTTAAGTAGTTTTTGGTTAAAAAAACTACTTAAAACTCTTTTTTTAAACTGGGTTTTTTATGATCAGGGTTTTTTATTAGTGTTCTGACTGGTCTGATATTTGGCCTTTAAAGGGTTAAAATGGTTCTTTAGTAGTTTTTGTTTAAAACAATACTTCTGGGTTCTTTGTATTCACACAATTTCCTGACTTTACAGCTTTGATTTGCTTTGATTCATATCCATCCATGATAATAATAATGATATGCTTTGTATCCGTGGATCTGGTGTTTGAATAAAGCTTCATGTTTGACAGCTGCTGGGAGTCTTTGTTCCGTTCCACAGGAGCTTCCAGGTTTGGGAGCAAACGTCTGGTCTGACAGGATTCCTGCTGAGGGGCTCTCCAGGCAGGAAACCCCTCCCTGATCTTGAACTCAAACGGCTGATTTTAAAAAGACAAGTTTAGCCACAATAACAGCTGATTTTAGCTGATTTGTACACATAAAAAGCCGAAATTAAAAAAAAGAATTTTAGCTGATGCTAACTTAAAAACTGAATTGATCTGATTCTAACATAAAAGCAATTGATTCTTTACAGAGAAACATATAATTTTAGCTGATTTGAAGACAAAATCATCTTAGTTAGCTGATTATAACAAAAAAACAGCTCATTTGAGCTGATTTGATAACAGATACAGCAATTGAGCAGTTGATTTTTTACAGAGAAACATATAATTTTAGCTGTTTTTAACAGAGCTGATTTTAACAAAAAAAACAACTTATTGTAGCTGATTCTAACAGCTTATATTTACTGAGAAGCAGCTGATTTTTACACAGAAGCACCTCATTTGAAGACAAAAAAGCTGATTTGAACATAAAACTGCTGGTTTGAGCTGATTTGAACTCAGAGGGCTCTTGTACAACAAAAGACAAAGGCAGAGCTCTGTGGAAACAAAATGGAGGCTGTACAGGTCTGAGTCAGACTCAGAAACACACACACGCACACACACAAACACACACACACTCACACACACACA